AGAAAAGCCATCCAGATTAGAAAGAAAGTGAAATTATCTCTGTTCTACAGATGATACGATCTTATAAGTAGAAAATTCTATGAAACCTACAAAAATTTGTCAGAATTCAGCAAGAAGATTTAACATAAGCACCTCAAAATCAGCGGTATTTCTACACATTTGCAATTAACAATCTGAAAAGGAGCCAATGAAACAGTTCCATTTACAAACGCATTAAAAAGTAATACCATTTTCCTTCCTGCCCACTTGTCTTACTCCATCTGGGCTACTCTAACAAAAACCACAGGCACCTATAGGTAGGGTGTTAACAACAGATTTATATTTCTCATAGTTCTGGAGGCTGAGAAGTTCAAGATCATGGTGTTAGCGTGGTTAGATGAGAATCCAAACTTCCCCTATACCCTCACATAGCAGAAGGGACAAGGGAGCCTTACTGGACCTCTCTTACAAGGTCCCTAACTCCCTCTGATGGTTCCATCTTCACGACCTAGCCACATCCCAAAGCCCCTAATACCAATGAGCATTAGGATTTCAACATATGAATTTGGAGGGGACGCAAACATTCAGCCGATAGCACCATTGTGTTTTCATACATTGCAGTCCAAATCTATCTCTTTACATGAATTTCTTGGCTTTTCATATTTTGAATGAACTTCTTTCTTCTCTCTAGTCACTAGCTTTCCCCTTGTATTTCTGTTATTCCATTTATTATGACCCAATTTGTCTTATTAACTCATAATTTGTCTTGCAGGATCTTTGGGGAGCAAATCCTATTCTGAACATCTTTATGTTCCCAAAAAGCATCTGACATGGTGCCTACCCACTTTGGGTACTGAACTGGCATTTATCTGATAGAACTTTCTAAAGCTCTGTTGTCAGTATTAATTATACACTTTGATAATCTGAAGAATGTCATAGGTTTCAGTTTCTTTGAAATTCATTTAGTTCCTAATTTTAAAAAAATCCAAGATTGAACACACTACAGAACTAACCTTCACTGCACATGAATGGTTTTTGACAAATTGAATAATTGGTCATTAAATATTTACTTGAAGAAAAATACATTATTTAATTTTAATGTTTTCAGGCTACAGTTCATTTCTGTGTGACATCCAAATTGATGGTTTTAGTAAGGTTTATATTAAGGTTCTTGATATCAACTGGCTGGCCAAGTGTAAAAATCACCTCAAATACTATTAGAAGTACATGATCCTTATACATGGGTATCCTTAATCACATACCAGGTATAGTACTTTTACACTTTAAAGGGGGACAGCAATACCAACATGGTTGTCTGTCACCAGAGAAAGACCAGCTTTCTAGAAAGACTGAGGCAATACTTGAATGACTTTGAAAACTAGTGTTGCCCAGTCATTATAGCAGAAGATACACAATCTCCATTACAGATACCAGCTGCACCTTCATCTCAGGAACAGGGTTAAAGATCTCAGCAACCAGGTGAGCATTCCTTAGTTCCTTGGTCTACGCCTGCATTCCTAACCAATATTTAGTCCCATCCTCCCATAGTTGCTGAGAGGCAGGTGTTTCTTTACCAAGATGAATAACTTTAATCAAGTTATAGTCTGCTTGACCTAGGGATTATTTTGCTTTATTTAATGTTAACACTAGTGAAACTTATCTTGTGTGTGTGCTAAGTTGCTCCAGTTACATCCCGCTCTTTGTGACTCTATGGACTATAGCCCGCCATGCGCCTCTGCAAATGGGATTCTCCAGGCAAGAATACTGGAGTGGGTTGCCGTGCCCTCCACCAGGGGATCTTCCCCACCCAGGGGTCAAACCCCACCATCTCTTTTGTCTCCTGCATTGGCAGATGGGTTCTTTACCACTGGTACCACCCGGGAGATTTATCTTACCATTGGCAAATAAAGGAATCATATTTCCAGTTTTAGAGAATGATTACAGCTTTCAAATTACATCCTTGTTAAGACAAAATGAAACAAACAAACAAACAAAAAACCCCTCTTTCTGCCAGTAAAAAGTCTGCTATAGAAGCTGTGGTAGCAGTGTTCATCAGATAATGTCCAAAAACTGATGGCTGCAATATTTCCCCAGTAATTTACCCTTCTGAACACTATTTAGTCACATGCCACCTTGTGCCAGGTATTAAAAGTTACTGTGGCTATATAACAAGACCAAGACAGAAAAAGTCTATCCTAAAATAAGGTTTTACTATTTTTTAATAAACTTATTTACTGCCTATCATCTGCATATGTGCTCTGCTTAATCTCTCAGTCGTGTCTGACTCTTTGCGACCCCGTGGACTGTAGCCCACCAGGCTCCTCTGTCCATGGGGATTCTCCAGGCAAGAATACTAGAGTGGGTCGCCATGCCTTCCTCCAGCAGATGTTCCCAAGTCAGGGATTGAACCCTTGTCTCGTGCATTGGCAGCTGGATTCTTTACCAGTGAACCACGGGAAGCCCCAACCCTTTATTTATTTATCTATCTTTGGCTGCCTGGGGTCCTTCGGCAGTGAGGTCTCTCTCCAGTTGAGGGAATGAGGGCTTTCTCTAGTTGCTGATACATGGGCTTTTCGTTACGGTGCCTCCTCTTGTTGCAGAGTACAGGCTTCAGGCACACAGGCCTCACAAGTCGTGTCACACGGGCCCTAGAGCACATGGGTTTCAGTAGTTGTGGCGCACTGGAGTTTCAGGAGTGGTGGAGTAGTTGCTCCAAGGTATGTGAGGTCTTTCTGAACCAGGGATCTAACCCATGTCCCCTGCATTAGCAGGTGGATTTTTAATCAAGGGACCACTGGGGAAGTCCCCATTAACCCTGTAAACATTAAAGTTTTATCTGTCCCCAAACGCCAAGTAGGAATATCTCCCATTGAAATTATAGAATATTTAAGATTCCAGGGTTTCATGAATGACAACAACATTTGTTTAATGTTAACAGTGAGGCAACATTTTATAAACTCACTTCATTCTGTAAATTAAGGTCAGGGAATCTGAGTAACAATGGAAATTGCAAGCAATTTGGTGTGTCCATTTTTCTGGAAAGAGGGCTCTTTCATCAGTTGTTCAAAGGAAGTATTAGGGCTTATGATAAACAGGAGGAATGTTGAAACCAGTTTTCCCAGGTTTGAAGCCCAGCTTTACCGCCTCTTAGAAATGTGACCTTGGGCAGCTTGTTTAACTTCTATGGTTTTTTTTTTTTTTTTTGCCTTTTTCTTCTAGGTTAGTTAAGTGAAGCAGTAGGGGTGGAGAAGAAACAAGAAATCTGCAACTGGTTGTGATCAATGAATTGTAAACAGCACTGCACTCTTGCCCTCTGATCAGTCAACCTCTCTTTTCTTTGGTTTTCTCATCAGTAAACAAGGATTATGACAGACACTAGCTTATAGAGGTCCTCCTCCAGGGTACTAATCTTGCTTTATAAAGATATACTTGATTATCATTTGTCCTACCCTCTAGGCCAAGGGTCCCCAAACTCTGGACCTCCTGTCAGATCAGCGACGGCATTAGATTAGAAATAAAGTGTACAATAAATGTAATAAGCTTGAGTCACCCTGAAGCCATCCCCTGCCCCCTGGGCGATGGAAAAGTTGTCTTCCACGAAACAGGTTGCTGTTGTTCAATCGCTAAGTCGTGTCCAACTCTTTGCGACCCCATGGACTGCAGCATGCTAGGTTCCCCTGTCCTTTACCATCACCTGGAGTTTGCTCAAACTCATGTCTACTGAGTTGATAATATCATACCACATCTCATCTTACACAGCTGTCCTTTATTTTCAGATTCTCTCAAGTGCTGTTTCTACCCACTAGTTTCTCTCTACAAAAATGTCCTTAACTTGGCACACACACTCTCTTTAGAACCTAGCTTCTCCTTTGAACTCTTCCCCCAACACCCTTGGGGCTCTGAGTTTCTTTGGTACGCTACATGTGATTCTTTTTTTTTTTTTTTTCTGTTAAATTATTCTTAATCAGATTGTGAGTTCTTCCTCTTAAGAGAAAGGTGGGGATGTGATGTAGCTTGTCTGTCTTTGCATTCCAAGCGTGTAGTCTAAAGTCTGACACATAGTGTGTGCTTAATGTTTATTGTCAAAAGGTGACAATTAACATGCATAAATGTACTTCAGAGTTTCCCAGCACATTCACACGATCATACCACTAATCCCTACAACAACCTTGTAGAATAGTAATTATCACCACCCTATCCATCCTTTCCTATTTTATAAAGTGTAGAGTGGAGCCTGAGATTATCTTGCCCAAAGCCAGTTAACAGTAAAGCGTGACTAGTACCTGCTTTTCCAGACTTCAAGTACCAGCCTCTTGACATCATATTAATACATTTTGAAGTCAGCGCCAACTTCGCACCAGGATTTAAATGTGGGTAGACCACTGGTGGCCACAGTTTCAGACGCTGGGCTGAGATGAGCAAAACCTCAGAGGGGCACACGGGATCCTGAACTACATCTCCCAGAAACTCCGGGGCGGGGGGGGCGGCAAAGCCTCATGTGAGTGGTTGAATCGGTCAGCCAATAGCGTCGCTACGAGCTTCCTACAGACCAATCGCGGGCATGAAGGGGCGGGACCTCCCACTGCTAGGCTGGATTGCGCGCAGAATAACAGTATTCTGAGTTACACAAACCCGCGGGGCACTGCGAGCCTTGGCCCCGCGCCTCGGCCGCCACGTCGTCCTCCTCTTCGGGTCCAGCCCGCGTCGTCCTGTCGACTCGGCCTCCGGTCGCCCTGGTTTAGCCGCCAGGCCTTTTCCTAGGACTGGCCAGGTGACCGAGAAGAAAGCACGTGTATGAGCAGCGGTCTGGGCAGGGGGCCCTCCTGTCAGCGCCGCGCGGCGCTCGGGCCCTGACGGAAGCCCCGCTGTCGGGTCTGGTTGCGGGGAGGCCCCTCTGTCCCTGGGACCCCAACCTTCTGTGAACTACTGGCCCGGCGCTGGCTGGCGTGGCTCTGGGCCGTCACGTGCGGAGGGCGCGTCTTGCCCGCCGCGTCCCCGGCCCGAGGAGAAGACTCCGCAGCATGGCCCCCACGCTCCAGGACCTGACGCCATCTGGTAATGCTGCGACCCGCTCTCCGCGCTTCGGTGGTTTATTACCTCCTGATCCCTAGGGTGATCCAGTTACCACCAGGAGACACCTGGTTAGCTTTCCCCGGGGGCAGGCGGCGCCTCCGAACGTGCGAACCCTGAGGTCCCGTGTTTTCTCGCTGCCTGCGTTCCTTCTCTCCCCGACCCACCCGGCTTCCTCCCAAGGGAGACAAACCATCAAATCCATAAAGCACGCCCCGACCTGTGCCCCCGAAACATATTCTGAGCGCCAGGTCAACTAAACTTTTCAGTTTGATGTACCGTATTCCGTCTGGGCCTTAAGGAAGTTTTGCATGATTGAACGTTCTTATTCAATATATGTTTATTAAGCATCTAAGCCAAAGAAGGTTCAGGTGCTGAGAAATAAGGAAGCCCAGAAAGCTATTTAAAACTGCACTGAACTTTTATTTTCCACCTCGAGGTTACAACAGTAGTCCTGCCAACTCTAGTGTGTGTAAAATCACTGTTAGAATAGATTAGTGGGTACTCAGTAGGTTGGGATAAGGGGTAATAATTCCAGGTGATTTTGATGTTGGTGACTCTCACATTGACAATGAGGAAAAAGAAAACTAACACAAGAATTAAGTATATCAGTATTTTCAGTTTTAAAATGAGTTCTAGGTCTTTAATGCCCTCCCTGATTGTAATCTGTGAACAAATACACCTGTTAAAACTTGTGAGGTATGAAGTAGCAAATGAAGAAACAAGAGAATCAGTAACAAGGACATAACAGCAGATGTGACAGATAAGGATCTTCAGCTCAGGAATTCCATAACTGAAATTTTTCAGAGGTGAGCTAGTGACCCTTTTGATAGTCTTTAATAGAGTCAAGTCAGGAAACTGCTGAAAACAGTGTTGGGATCATTTGTTTCAATGCAGAATTCTTTTCCTTGCTCTGTTTCCCCCAGGCAGTGCAGTGGGTGTGGGAGTCCTAAGTCAGTCTTAGCTGCATGGGATCATTCTGTCTACAGAGTAAATGTGTTCTTGACAGTAATTTATTACTTAAAATCATGTGTATTTGGGGTTTATTGGTTTATGCCATCATCTTGTCTCTAGGATGGCTCTTGTCTTAAGAACCATTGTTTAGGATGGTTCTTAAAGACCATACTATCTGACTTACCCACCTCAAAATCTAATTGGTCCTTTAACCAGTTAATCCCATGTTTGTTTACTCTTTGGAGCATTTACTATGAATCGCATTATCATTACTGGGAAAGAAAACATTAGTTCAGTTCAGTTCAGTTGCTCAGTTGTGTCTGACTCTTTGTGACCCCATGAATCACAGCACGCCAGGCCTCCCTGTCCATCACTCACTCCTGGAGGTTACCCAAACTCATGCCCATCGAGTCGGTGATGCCATCCAGCCATCTCATCCTTTGTCATTCCCTTCTCCTCCTGCCCCCAATCCCTCCCAGCATCAGAGTCTTTTCCAATGAGTCAACTCTTCCCATGAGATGGCCAAAGTACTAGAGTTTCAGCTTCAGCATCAGTCCTTCCAATGAACACCCAGGACTGATCTCCTTTAGGATGGACTGGTTGGATCTCCTTGCAGTCCAAGGGACTCTCAAGATTCTTCTCCAACACCACAGTTCAAAAGCATCAATTTTTCAGCGCTCAGCTTTCTTCACAGTCCAACTCTCACATCCATACATGACCCCTGGAAAAACCATAGCCTTGACTAGACGGACCTTTGTTGGCAAAGTAATGTCTCTGCTTTTTAATATGCTGTCTAGGTTGGTCATAACTTTCCTTCCAAGGAGTAAGCGTCTTTTAATTTCATGGCTGCAATCACCATCTGCAGTGATTTTGGAGCCCCCCAAAATAAAGACTGACACTGTTTCCACTGTTTCTCCATCTATTTCCCATGAAGTGATGGGACCAGATGCCATGAGCTTAGTTTTCTGAATGTTGAGCTTTAAGCCAACTTTTTCACTCTCCTCTTTCACTTTCATCAAGAGGCTTTTTAGTTCCTCTTCACTTTCTGCCATAAGGGTGGTGTCATCTGCATATCTGAGGTTATTGATATTTCTCCCTGAAATCTTTATTCCAGTTTGTGCTTCTTCCAGCCCAGCATTTCTCATGATGCACTCTGCATATAAGTTAAATAAGCAGGGTGGCAATATACAGCCTTGACATACTCCTTTTCCTATTTGGAACCAGTCTGTTGTTCCATGTCCAGATCTAACCGTTGCTTCCTGACCTGCATACAGGTTTCTCAAGAGGCAGGTCAGGTGGTCTGGTATTCCCATCTCTTTCAGAATTTTCCACAGTTTATTGTTATCCACACAGTTGAAGGCTTTGGCGTAGTCAATAAAGCAGAAATAGATGTTTTTCTGGAACTCTCTTGCTTTTTTGATGATCCAGTGGATATTGGCAATTTGATCTCTGGTTCCTCTGCCTTTTCTAAAACCAGCTTGGACATCTGGAAGTTCTCGGTTCACGTATTGCTGAAGCCTGGCTTGGAGAATTTTGAGCATTACTTTACTAGAGTGTGAGATGAGTGCAATTGTGTGATAGTTTGAGCATTTCTTTGGGATTGCCTTTCTTAGGGATTGGAATGAAAACTGACCTTTTGCAGTCCTGTGGCCACTGCTGAGTTTTCCAAATTTGCTGGCATATTGAGTGCAGCACTTTCACAGCATCATCTTTCAGGATTTGAAATAGCTCAACTGGAATTCCATCACATTCACTAGCTTTGTTCATAGTTATGCTTCCTAAGGCCCACTTGACTTCACATTCCAGGATGTCTGGCTCTAGGTGAGTGATCACACCATTGTGATTATCTGGGTTGTGAAGATCTTTTTTGTACAGTTCTTCTGTGTATTCTTGCCACCTCTTCTTAATATCTTCTGCTCCTGTTAGGTCCATACCATTTCTGTCCTTTATTAAGCCCATTTTTGCATGAAATGTTCCCTTGATATCTCTAATTTTCTTGAAGAGATCTCTACTCTTTCCCATTCTGTTGTTTTCTTCTGTTTCTTTGCATTGATCACTGAGGAAGGCTTTCTTATCTCTCCTGGCTATTCTTTGGAACTCTGCATTCAAATGGGAATATCTTTCCTTTTCTCCTTTGCTTTTAGCTTCTCTTCATCTCACAGCTATTTGTAAGGCCTCCTCAGACAGCCATTTTGTTTTTTTACATTTCTTTTCCATGGGGATGGTCTTGATCCCTGTCTCCTGTACAATGTCACGAACCTCCGTCCATAGTTCATCAGGCACTCTATCCGATCTAGTCCCTTAAATCTATTTCTCACTTCCACTGTATATTCATAAGGGATTTGATTTAGGTCATACCTGAATGGTCTAGTGGTTATCCCTACTCTCTTCAGTTTAAGTCTGAATTTGGCAATAAGGAGTTCATGATCTAAGCCACAGTCAGCTCCTGGTCTTGTTTTTGCTGACTGTATAGAGCTTCTCCATCTTTGGCTGTAAAGAATATAATTTTGGTGTTGACCATCTGGTGATGTCCATGTGCAGAGTCTTCTTTTGTGTTGTTGGAAGAGGGTGTTTGCTATGACCAGTGCGTTCTCTTGGCAGAACTCTATTAGCCTTTGCCCTGGTTCATTCTGTACTCCAAGGCAAAATTTGCCTATTACTCCAGGTGTTTCTTGACTTTCTACTTTTGCATTCCAGTCCCCTATAATGAAAAGGACATCTTTTTTGGGGTGCTAGTTCTAAAAGGTCTTGTAGGTCTTCATAGAACCATTCCACTTCAGCTTCTTCAGCGTTACTGGTTGGGGCACAGGCTTGGATTACCGTGATATTGAATGGTTTGCCTTGGAAATGAACTGAGATCATTCTGTCATTTTTGAGACTGCATCCAGGTACTGCATTTTGGACTCTTTTGTTGACTGTGATGGCTACGCCATTTCTTCTAAGGGATTCCTGCCCACAGTAGTAGATATAATGGTCATCTGAGTTAAATTCATCCATTCCAGTCCATTTTAGTTTGCTGATTCCTAGAATGTCGACATTCACTCTTGCCATCTCCTATTTGACCACTTTGAATTTGCCTTGATTCATGGACCTAACATTCCAGGTTCCTATGCAATATTGCTCCTTACAGCATCGGACCTTGCTTCTATCACCAGTCCCATCCACAACTGGGTATTATTTTTGCTTTGGCTCCATCCCTTCATTCTTTCTGGAGGTATTTCTCCACTGATCTCCAGTAGCACATTGGGCACCTATCGACCTGGGGAGTTCCTCTTTCAGTATCCTATCATTTTGCCTTCTCATACTTTTCATGGGGTTCTCAAGGCAAGAATACTGAAGTGGTTTGCCATTCCCTTCTCCAGTGGACCACATTCTGTCAGACCTCTCCACCATGACCCGACCGTCTTGGGTGGTGCCATACAGCATGGCTTATTTTCATTGAGTTAGACACGACTGTGGTCCTGTGATCAGACTGGCTAGTTTTCTGTGATTATGGTTTTAGTGTGTCTGCCCTCTGATGCCCTCTCGCAACACCTACCGTCTTACTTGGGTTTCTCTTACCTTGGACGTGGGATATCTCCACGGCTGCTCCAGCAAAGCGCAGCCGCTGCTCCTTACCTTGGATGAGGGGTATCTTCTCACAGCCGCCCCTCCTGACCTTGAACGTGGAGTAGCTCCTCTCGGCCCTCCTGCGCCCGCGCAGCAGCCGCTCCTTGGAGATGGGGTAGCTCCTCTCGGGCGTGGCCCCTGACCTCAGGGGTGGGGTAGTTCCTCTGCTGGCTGCGACAGACCGCGCAGAAGTGCACTGGCTGCGACGGACCACACAGAAGTGTGGCTGTGAGGAGCTACCCCTCGCCCAAGGTCAGGTGTAGCGACCCAGAGCACCAGGCTGTGACAGCGCAGGAGCAGTGGCTGAGAAGAAAATATTAAAGGGTAGAAAAAAAATCACGCAAGTAAAGTACATTGACTAGGTCCTCTCGAGCTGGGAAAAACTTTGTGATCTCTTAGGTTCACTAGACAAGGACATTCTT